GTACTACCCTCTCCGGCTTTCCCTACTCACTTCTTGTTTTTTTTTTTGTTTGTTTGTTTTTAAGATTTTATTTATTTATTTGACAGAGAGAGACACAGTGCGAGAGGGAACACAAGCAGGGGGAGTGGGAGAGGGAGAAGCAGGCTTCCCGTGGAGCAGGGAGTCTGCTTCTCCCTCTGACCCTCTTCCCTCTCGTGCTCTCTCTCTCTCTCAAATAAATAAATAAATAAATAAAATCTTTAAAAAAAAAAGTACAACCATAAACAACACGGGCAGGGAATCTGCTCATAGCTAATCATGCTGTTCATCAAATATTTATTTCCTACATGCCAGGCACAGTGCTGGACTCTGGGGAGACACAGATGAACATCTCTGTCCATCCACATGGATTTCACTGCCTCCTGCAGGAGGACAGTGAAAACTTAACATCTAGTTGAGCTGAGAAGGTACTTGGCAGGGTGCAGTGATGGACACTAGGGAAGGGAGCGCCTAGAAGGGGATATGACTTGCCTGATGAGAAGTAGCGAGTTAAGGTAGGAAGGTTGTTGGGGAAAGCGCATTCCAGAGACACAGAAGTTAGGGAGGGTGGCAAAGAGCTCGTTGGCAGGAGAATGTGATGGGAAACCTTTGAAGGGTTTAAGTGGGGTAGTAAATTGATTTGATTATGCTTTAAAAGACCACTCTCTGGTTGCAGTGTGGAGAACGGATTGGAGATGGGTTGAGAGAAACAGCAGTTAGAAGGCTCTTGTAATGATCCCAATGAAGGATGATGGCGGCTTGGACCAGCGCAGACGCAGAGGGCATGCAGAAAAGTAGAATTTTTGAGAAATGTGTTGGAGGCAGTAATTAATTGTATAGAGTGGGTAGAGTAAGGAATCCAGAATGACTCTGGGAAGACATGTCAAATGGGTAGATGCTGGGAGCATGTTCTCTAATGGTTAAAAACTGTAGGATGAATGAATGAGGTTGGGTGGTTGAATAGAAGGTATTAAGGACTCTATTTAGTCTGAGATGCCTGTGGGGAAGAGGGCAAGAAGGCGGGTGGAGTTCATTGGAGGGCTCTGAACTGGAGATCTATATCCTGCATTCTTTGGCACCCTCCCTTTAAGACTGAGTGAGAGTCCCTAATTTTCACATCTTGATGCATACATTTATCAACAGTACAAGAAAGTAGAAATTTGGGCTTTCCATTAGTTTCAGAACATTTCTTTTTTTTTTAAAACATTTTTATTTATTTATTTGAGAGAGAGAGAATGAGAGATAGAGAGCACGAGAGGGAAGAGGGTCAGAGGGAGAAGCAGACTCCCTGCTGAGCAGGGAGCCCGATGATGTGGGACTCGATCCCGGGACTCCAGGATCATGACCTGAGCCGAAGGCAGTCGCTTAACCAACTGAGCCACCCAGGCGCCCTAGTTTCAGAACATTTCAACAAGAGTCTGAAGTACCAGACTTTGGGAGAGGGAAAGAAGCAGAGTGCGCACCCCAGTGACAGGAACCGTTAGCATAAGTTGAAATGACCCGTTAATTAGGAATTCAGTTGAAACCTCTTACTAACATCTTACTAAGCACAGGTTGCTAAGCAACAGTGGCCACTGGAACCATGTGGTCATTCCTTCTGCCACAGAGCTCCTGGGCCTGGGTCTCATGCTGTAGCACAGGTACCCTTTTCGGCTGGTCAGAGTCATGCCTTTATACACAGATTTCATATACCCCTCTCTTTTCAGGGCCTCCCTTCCATGAATCACCATGTCTCTCTCTCTCTCTCTCTGGGGTCATTGATCTCTCCTGCTCTATTGGATCATTCCCAAGAGCAACACAAATGTGCTCTTGTGTCACCCAAACTATACAAATAAATCCCTTGAACCCACCTCCTCTGTCCCCTGCATTCCACCCCCAATTTTTTGGAAGACTTGTCTGCACATACTACCTCCACTTCTGCTTCTCCTTGCTTCTCCATCTGTCCCCATACTCCACCAAAACTGCTCTGTCAAGTTTACATACAACTTCTCGGATGTGCAGACACACCTCTCTTCTCTCAGCAGGATCTGACACAACTGACATTCCACCCTTCCTGAAACGCTGTCCTTTCTCGGGATCCCTTTGGTCTTCCTCCTGCCTCTCTGGCCAGTTCTCTCCCCATTGCAGGGCCTGAACCCTGAGTATTGGCATTCTCCAGGATTCTGCCCTGGGCCTGCTTTGTTTCGCTTTACTTCTCACCATAAGTGAGGTCTTTTATTTTTAGTACGGTAAATACCATTTATATGTCCCAAAATCACATCTCCAGCCCACGTGTTTGTCATCTGAGCTCCAGACTCCTATACCCATCCTTATAGATGACAACTGGACATTGCATCATAAACCACACAACAGAACACTTTATTCCCTTACCCCATACCTATTTCTCTTCTAGTTTCCCCCATTTCAGTACATAGCACTACTAAACCACTCAAGGAACTTCTGGATTCCTCCTTCTCCATCCGTCCTTTCAATCCGTCTGCAAAGCCCATTAATTCTCCAAAACCTACCTCAAATATTTCCCCTTTGTTCTATCCCTACTGCCACCACTTAAATCCATCATCCCTCCCCTGGATTCCCCTGCAGCCTCCTAGCTGGTCTCCTCTCTTACCCTAGCCCATAAATTATATGGATTAACTCCCCTGCATCACCGATATGCAGGCTGGGTGCTCTTTTCCATACCAAATCACCCACTTCTGCCTGGCCTTTCCCCCCAGTTATTTTACAAGACCTTGGGGGGAGGGGGCAGAGAGGACGTCACAGTTCCTGTCATCGTAGGGCTTCCATGTCAATGCGATCTAAAGGAGAGGAGCCCAACGCTTTCGGACCCCGACCTCAGGCCCGCACGGTGCTAACTGCTTTGACGCCGGCCTGCGACCGGTGACTCTGGGCAGGCCTCAGTTCGCCTCGTCTGCAAAATGGGACGACAAAGGGTAGCTCCGTCCCAGCGCTCCCCTGGCAGGCCGTGCAGGTGCAGGCGGAGGGGAGAGGCGGTGGTCGCGGGCGGGGCGGGGCCCGCGGCCACGTGGCCGTGGGCCGCGCGCCGGCTCCGAGCGCCAACCGCCGGCAGCCCCGCCTGCCCCGTCCCGCGGTCCGCCCCGGGCGCGCGCCCGACCCGCGGGTTCCCGGGCAGGGAGGCTGCAGCCCTTGCGGGAGCGAGCCTGGCCGGAGCGGGGAGGAGCGCGGCGCGACCTCGCCTGGACAGTGGGGCCCAGGCTGTGGGGGCGAGGGGCCGGTCAGTGCCGGCCGCGTAGGACCGAGGCGCTGGGGGCGTAGCGGGCAGCCGGGTCTCGGGGGACTATTGAGCTGGGGGTTGGCAGAGCTGGGACACCGCCCCGGGATTGCGCCCCTGGGGGCGGGGGGCGGCGAGACCCCTCCCCCCTTGTCTTAGGTACGCGGAGGTGTGGGGCTGCTCGCGATTAGCACAGTGCTTGGCCCCGAGCGAGCCCTTAGAGTGCCCGGGCTTTGATTGCAACCACAGTGCGCGGGGGAAACAGAAAAGGGAGTGATAAGTGGGCTGACCAGGGGTAACTGCCATTATTAAGCACCCAGGCTGGACGGGCTCGGTCACCACCCCTTCCTTCTTGAGGTGGCAGCGAAGGCACATGGGGCACAAGCATGGGTCCTAGGATTGTGGAAGAGGCAGAGCTGGGATACGAACCTGGGACCTTTGGCTCTTGGCCCAGAGCGCCAGGCCGAGGAAAACGTGTATTTGAACCAGGTTTTGAAAACCAGGAAGGGTTTGATGAATGGCCGTAACTGGGCGAGCTCTGCCCTAATCGCCCTTGGGAAGACGTTTGATTTTTTTTATAGGCCACACTTTCCTCCTCCGTAAAAGTGGCTGGACTTAGGAAAACTAATTAACTAATATGTAAGTAAATGCTTTGCAACCCGTGAAGCATTTTCAATTACGTTGTCATAGGTAATGCCTCACAATTAACTCACCAAGTAAGCTTTTTTTATTAGCCTCCTTCGACGGATGAAGAAACTGTGTCCTAGAGAGGTTTGTTAGATCAGGGAGCACTGCCAGAGCATTACTATTGACTAAATCAGAGGTTTTTCAGGATAACTGCCTCGGATGGGCATAAAGCTCAGAAACTCCTGTGACCTCATCATCTACTAGTCTAGAATAATACTTTTGCTGGATCTGCTTGTCCTCCTGGACTACCAACAGCTCTATCCCAGCAACCCAAATCGCCAAAATGGAGCTATTACTATTATTTTTAATGTTACTTTCTGGTTTGGGCTGGGCTATGGGGAGTCCTTTAGGCAAAGTCAAAACTGAGAGGGAGTCGGATGGGGAGTTGATTGAATTCTGAAAATTTCTACTGTTTTGGGTTTTCTAAATAATGATTATTTTGAGGGCATTGGTGGTAAATAGTAATAATTTTGTCCTTCCTATTGACAGGTCCACCTCCTAGCAAATTATTTGGAATGAACATGAGAAATGTAAGTAGGGATTTTTAAGTATCAGTTAAAGGAACCTAAATTAAAAAAAAAAAAGGAACCTAAATTGTTTATGAAATGATGGCAGTTAATTTGGCGATACCATTTCTGGATGTGTACAGTTAATTGGCAGTTAATTATCAAATGCCCATTTTCGAAAAGTATATTTAATACATGGAGAGGGGTCTACACAGGCCTGTCACCACAAGCACTGACAAGTATCCTGAGAGATACTTGTCCCTCTGGGCCTGTAAAAGGGAAGATGAGCTGTGTGTTTCCTAATGTCTATGATGTATGGCAGGTGTTTTTTGGCCTAAGTGTTTTCATTTATCCTGTAACCTCCTTTGTCCTCAACAAACTGAAAAGGCAGGAGGCATTCTTATCTTTTTAAGAACTGAGGCTTAAGCTTAGGAAGGCTAAGTAAACCAGCCCTGTCCCTGCCAAAAGAAAACCTTTTCACTAAAGCACACCTTTCATGTTGTTGATCCAGGTTTAGAGTCGACAAATATTTAATGAGCAGCTACTTAACACCAGGTGCTTTTGAGTATTTTATTGAATCCTCATGACAACCTACCATCCCTTTTGCTCATTTCAGCTGATCACCTTAAAATCAATTAGCAAGCCTTCTAAGAAAATAGCCCACTCCCACTGGTAGGACAGGAGATGAACATCTGTAAATCCATGGGAATGTTACGGCCCCCTTTCTAAATATGATGGGTGCTGTGGGGATACCAACAGCAGCAGTTCCCGTAGTACAATCCTGACATCTCCAAAAGAGTGGTGCAAAGCAAAAACATGGGACTTACACGGCAAACTTTGAATTGGAGGGAGCATTTTCTTCCACTGATGACAATTAAGTCTGAAAATGCCGTTGGTTTCCTGTGATAGATGCACACATCATGATGACTGGGGCTCGCCGTTGATCTGACCCTTGGATCAATTAGGTGTTACTTATGAAAAAGCATCAGGTGGAAATTCTGGCGTGGCTACAAGCCAGGCTGTGAGAAGGGGATGGATAGGTGGGCAGGCAGGGGTCCCGAGTTTGAAGGGCATTGGATGTTATTCTGAGACATTTGCGTTTTAATCTGTGGGCAGTGGGAGCCACGGCAGTGTTTAAAAGGGAAGTGACATGATGGGTATATGCTGTAGGTGGAGTCCTGCTGCGGAGCTGAGGAGGGATTGGAGCAGGTGGAATGGAAGCAGGGAGGCCCGGAAAAGAACTATTGCAGTTAGTTAATTGGAATGAATGTGGAAGTGTCCAGTAACTGATAAAAATGCTAACCGCTATCATCTGCTGAGCTCTTCCTGTGTGGCCAGATTCTGTGCAAGGGGCTTTGTACACATTATCTTATGTACCCTTTGAGCTAAAGACTGTTGTCCCCATTTTACAGGGTCGGAGGTGATGAAGATGACTTGTGTCAGGTCACACAGTGACTAAGTGGTAGAGCCAAAGTTCAAATCCACATCTGTCTGAATCTAAAGCCTTAAGGCTGCAAATCTGTCTATGTTCCAAACTTAAACACCTGTGACTAGTACTAGGCAGACTCTCCAGATCTTTGTACAGCAGAACTTGCCATGTAAAGTACCAGTCTAGTTGATTTGTGTCTAAGACACATCCCAAATCTGTCCTCTTACCTCCTTCGCCTACCACCCCAGATGAGTCAGCATCAGTTGCTGCCTGCGGTCCTACAGTAGTCACCTAACTATCTTCCCAGCATCCTCACTTGCCAACCTAAAACTTATTCTTCACATAATAGCCTGACTGATCTCTTTAAAATCTAAATCAGGGTAGGCGCCTGGGTGGCTCAGTCAGTTAAGCGTCAGACTCTTGATTTAGGCTCAGGTCATGATCTTCGGTCCCGGGATCAAGCCCGGCATCCGGCTCCATGCTAAGTGCAGAGTCTGCTTGAGATTCTCTCTCTCTGCCCCTCCCCCCACTTGTGCGTACACGCTGTCTCTCTCTTTCAAATAAATAAAATCTTTAAAAAATAGGGGTGCCTGGGTGGCTTAGTCATTGGGCGTCTGCCTTTGGCTCCGGTCATGATCCCAGGGTCCTGGGATCGAGACCTACATCAGGCTCCCTGATCAGCGGGGGGCCTGCTTTTCTTTCTCCCACTCCCCCTGCTTGTGTTCCCTCTCTTGTGCTCTCTCTGTCAAATAAATAAATAAAATCTTTTTTTTTTTTAAGATCTCATTTGTTTGTATATGTGCTGCCAAAGCGAGCACACGAGCAGGGGGAGTGGGAGAGGGAGAAGCAGGCTTCCTGTGGAGCAGGGAGCCCGACGCGGGGCTCGATCCCAGGACCCTGGGATCACGACCTGAGCCGAAGGCAGACGCTTAACGACTGAGCCACCCAGGCGCCCCAAGGTTTTAGTTTTAAGTAATCTCTACATCCAGTGTGGGGCTCGAACTTGAGCCTTGAGATCAAGAGTTGCATCTTCCACCAACTGAGCCAGCCAGGCCCCCAGTGTGCTCTCTTTTCTTTTCCATTGATCTGCGCGTCTTTTTCTGTGCCAGTTCCATACTATTTTAATTACTACAGCTTCGTGGTGTATCTTGAAACCTGGGACTGTGATACCTCCCGTTTGCTCTTCTTTCTCCAGATTGCTAGGCTATTCAGGGTCTTTTGTGGTCCTGTACACATTTTAGAATTATTCTAGTTCTGTGAAAAACAACATCCACCCTCTTAAGTGAAAGCAGGCACCTTATCTTTCCCACCTCTGCATCCTGGCACCTTGGACATGGCATGGCATTTTGCAGGCTCTTAATAAAACTCATGGAATGAAAAGATCGTAGTCACAGTAGAAATAGAACTATATTATTAACAAAAAGTTAGGAATTATCCTTGATTTTGCTCTCTGTCACTCACAATTCCATCTGCAAATCCTGAAGCAGAACTACTTCTCACCACTAAACATATCCCCATATGTCCACTTTTCTGCCTTCCCACTGCTCCTATCCTTCTCCAGCTCCTGATTGGCTCTCTCCGAAACACCACGACCACCTCCCAGCTGGTCGCCTAAATCACTGGCCTCGGGCCCCTCTCCTGACTGCAAACTGATAGCTGCCGGAAGCAAAGAATCAGGTGTGTTATTAGGGCAGAAATGTTTGTTTATGTTTATTATGTCAAATGAAAATGTGCTGGCTGACCCTACCGTGTGAGTTTGCTAGGCTGCTATAACAAAATACCACAGACGGTGTGGCTTAAACAGCAGAGAGTTATTTTCTCACAGTTCTGGGAGGCCAGAAGCCTAAGATTCAAGCGTCGGCAGGTTTTCTTTTTTCTGAGGCCCTCTCGTGGGCTTGCAGATGCTGCCTTCTTGCTGTGTCCTCACGTGGTCTTTTATCTGTGTGCACACGTTTGTGTCCTAAGCTCTTCTTATAAGGACACCAGTCAAATTGGGTGAGGCCCCACCTCACCCAATTGGGTGACCTCATTTTACCTTAATTACATCTTTACTGGCCCTATGTCCAAATACAGTCGCAATCTGAGGTACTAGAGTTAGAATTTTAACATACCAGTTGAAAGGGGGTGGACACAATTCAGGCCATCACACAAACGACATCTGTCTGGTACTGCACAAAACTGCCGGCTCACATTACAGTCCTTTAGATCACATCCTGTCTTTGCAAAGCTGAGGTTGTGGAGGTGGTTGTGAAAAAAAGTATTGTGTGTAGATGAATGTGGAACAGGCAATGAGTCCTAATTCCAAGGTTTGAGAAGGTGTGCGGTGCCAAACAGGCATTAAGTTCTTAGGACATACTTACTGAATTTGTTTGGACTTAACCTACTTAATGAACAGAACTGTTAGGTATTTCTGTAGGCCTAGGGGGTCATGAAACAATTATGGAGACACTAGATGCACCATGAGTTGTGAAAATTTGGCAACCTCCTTTACTCCAAACAGGTCAGTGGATCCCAGAGATCAGAAACACCAGGGAAGATTTTAATTAAGCAGGTTTCTCCAGGTCCCACCCTAGACCTATTGAAAAAATATTTGGGAGTTAAGCCCTGGGTCAGTTTTGGGATCCACTGGTCTAACCTAACCCCTTCATGAAGGCCTAGAAAGGGAAATGTTTTGCCAGAGGTCATACAGCAAGTTAGTGGCTGAGCTGGGACTAGAATCCAGATTCTAACGGAACTACCAGATTCTCTTCCTCTTCTTGAGCATTTCTCATATCCACACCTGCAAATGTCATGGCAATCTGCTGCTTAAAAACAGACATGACCCTGATCTCAAAGACAGCAATTACATGGACAAACTCCATGTTGAATATATCAGTTGCATTTTTTAAAAAAGATTATTTATTTGTTTGAAAGAGAGCGAGAGCAGGGGGAGGGGCAGAAGCAGAGGTAGAGGGACAAGCAAACTCCGTGCTGAGCAGGGATGTGGGGCTCAATCCCAGGACCCTGAGATCATGACCTGAGCAGAAATCAAGAGTCGGATGCTTATCTGAGCCACCCAGGTGCCCCCCCATCATATGCATTTTAAAAATTTATATTGTGGGGCACCTGGGTGGCTCAGTGGCTGGGCTTCTGCCTTCGGCTCAGGTCATGATCCCACGGTCCTGGGATCGAGCCCTGCATCGAGCCCTGCATCAGGATCCCTGCTCAGCAGGGAGCCTGCTTCTCCCTCTCCCACTCCCCCTGCTTGTGTTCCCTCTCTCGTTGTGTCTCTCTCTGTCAAATAAATAAAATCTTTAAAAAAAAATTATATTGTGTGAGATCTATATGAGGAAAACCATGAAACTCTGATGAAAGATATTAAAGAAGAATTAAGTAAATGGAGAGATATTTCATGTCTTTGGATAGGAAAACTCAATATTGTCAAGATGTTCGTTCTTTTCAACTTGGTCTATAGATTCAGTTCAATTCCAGTCAAAATCCCACAAGTTCTTTTGTGGATGTTGACAGGTTCTAAGGTTTATATGTAGAGGCAAAAAGAATAGCCAACTCAATATTGAAGAAGAACGAAGTCAGGGTGATGTAGGCAGGCCAGGTCTGAGGATCTGGAGGGGGTCCTACAGGACCAAGACGGTCCCAGGGTGCATGCAGAAGACATCAAATGGGAGCAGCAGGAGGTGAGAGGAGAGTTTATTGAAGGTATAGAGAGAGTTCAGGTACAGACAGAATGTCTGGGAAACTCAGAAAGGAAAGGAGAGAGAGTCTCATCTTTGCTCAAATTTTTGCTGTGCAAAGGGATTTTTACTGATGATTATAATCTGGTGTATGTGTCCTCTTAGGCAACCAGGAACCAGTTAGATGAGGTCCAGGTGTTATTCCTTGGGGCCCGGGGGGTCTTGGTGTCTTGATTTCTAGCACCAGTGGTCTGGAATATGCATATGATGGCTTGTCTGGTCATTCTCACCCGGTCCTTCCTTAGATGTTGTCTATTCTAGAGAAATCACCAACTCCTTGTCCTTTACAAGGAGGACATACGCTATTTGCATTCTGAGGCTTGTGTAAAAGTAGGGGTGCAGGTCCTAGCAAGAATAGAAGCAGGAAAAGGAGCAAAAAGCAGATTTCTCTGCAGTCTTTCAGTTTCCCTATCCCAAGAGGACTGATACGACCCAAGTTCAGGACTTCCTATAAAGCTACAGTAATGAAGCCAGTGTGGTATTGGTGAAGAATAGACCAATGGGTCAATGGAGCAGAATAGAGAACCCAGAAATAAAGCCATGTAAAAGCAGCCAGCTCCTTGACCAAGGAGAAAAGGCAATACAATGGAGCAAAGAGTCTTTTCAACAAATGGTGCTGGTACAACTGGACATCCATATGCAAAAAAATGAATCCAGACAGAGACCATACACCCTTGACAAAATTTGGCTTAAAATGGATCATAGAGGGCGCCTGGGTGGCTCAGTTGGTTAAGCGACTGCCTTCGGCTCAGGTCATGGTCCTGGAGTCCCGGGATGGAGTCCCACATCGGGCTCCCTGCTCAGCAGGGAGTCTGCTTCTCCCTCTGACCCTCCCCCTCTCACGTGCTCTCTCTCTCTCATTCTCTCTCTCAAATAAATAAATAAAATCTTTAAAAAAAAAATGGATCATAGACCTAAATGTAAAATGCAAAACTGTGAACCCCCTAGGAGATAACATAGGGGAAAATCTGGATGATCATGGAGATGGTGAGGACTTTTTAGGTACAGGAAAGGCATGATCCATGTAAGAAATAACCTATAAACTAGATTTCATTAAAATTAAAAATTTTTGCTCTGCAAAGGAATTGTCAAGAGAATGAAAAGCCAGACTGGGTGAAAATATTTGCAAAAGACATAACTGATAAAGGACTATTATCCACAATATACAAAGAACTTTTAAAATGCAATGATAAGAAAACAACCTGATTAAAAAATGGGCCAAAGATTTTAACAGACCCAGAACAGATGGCAAGTAAGCATATGAAAAGATACCCTACATCATGTAACCCCAATGAAATGCAAATGAAAACAACAATGAGATGCCACTATACACCTATTGGAATCCCCCAAATCTAGAATACTTACAACACCAAATGCTCTCAAGGATATGGAGCAACAGGAACTCTCATTCATTGCTGGTGGGAATGCAAAATGGAACAGCTACTTTGGAAGACAGATTGATGGTTTCTCACAAAACTAACCATAATCTCACCATACAATCCAGCAATTGTGCTCCTTGGTGTTTACTCAAAGGAGTTGAAAACTTATGTCCACACGAAAACCCGCATATGGGTGTTTATAGCAGTTGCCAAAACTTGGAAGCAACCAAGTCCTTCAGGAGGTGAATGGATAAATAAACTGTGGTCCATCCAGACAATGGGGTATTGTTCACCGCTAAAAAGAAATGAGCTCTCAAGCCATGACAACACATGGAGGAACCTTAAATGCATATAACTAAGTGAAAGAAGCCAATCTGAAAAGACTACATGCTATATGATTCCACTTATACAACATCTAGAAAAGGCAAAACCGTGGAGGTAATAAAAAGATGAGTGGTCGCCAGGGGTTGGGGGAGGGAGAGATGAACAGGGCACAGAAGATTTTTAGGGTAGAAAATATTCTGTGTGATGCCGTAATGGTGGATTTATATCATACTTTTGTCCAAACCCATAGAATGTGCAACACCAAGGGTGAACCTCATGTAAACTATGGACTTCGGATGATAATGACGTGTCATTGTAGGTTCACTGATTGTAACAAGTGTACTGCTGTGGTGGGGCATGTTGATAGTGGGGAGGCAATGACTGTGGGGGGGTAAGGGGGGTAGAGGAAATCTCTGTACTTTGCACTCAATTTAGCTTTAAACCTAAAACCACTCTAAAAATTAAAAGTCTAATAAAAAAAATTTGTAGATCCTTTTGTGGCTCATAGATGTGACGATTGGGAGTTCATGCTATTATTGTGTGAGATGTACTACCCTCAAACCTTATCACAACACTGGCACATTACCTGTCTGATATAGAAAAAAATCTGTCTAGAAGTCAATAAACAAGTTTATGTATCCCCATTAGTAGCACTACCCATTTAGTGAAGTAAAAAGAGGGTTGTGGGAATTATACAATGCTAAGTAATAAAAAATATTTTAATAAGTATTTACCATGTACCTATTGAAAGACACAGGGGAGGGGCGCCTGGGTGGCTCAGTTGGTTAAGCGACTGCCTTCGGCTCAGGTCATGATCCTGGAGTCCCGGGATCGAGTCCCATGTCGGGCTCCCTGCTCAGCAGGGAGTCTGCTTCTCCCTCTGACCCTCTTCCCTCTCGTGCTCTCTCTCATTCTCTCTCTCTCAAATAAATAAAATCTTAAAAAAAAAAGAAAGACACAGGGGACGATACAAGAGAAATATAAAATGGGGCTCCTGGCTGGCTCATTTGGTAGAACATGCAACTCTCGATCTCAGGTTTGTGAGTTTGAGCCCTATGTTGGATGTAGAGCTTACTTAAAATAATAATAATAATAAAACAAAAAATAAAATAAAATGTTGTTCCTGCAAAGCTAAGAGTCTGGTTCTTTGGCCTGAATTGTGCTAAGTCAATAATGCAAATGGACTTTAAACCCTCAGTGCTCTGTTGTTCCAACTCTGTATCTATAATTCAGAGGC